GTGGGCCTAGGTCAGTGATGACGAACCTTTTGAGCCCGGCATGTCAGCATTTTGAAAAAACCTAACTTAACTCTGGCGCCGTATCACATATAGAAATCTTTTGATATTTGCAACCATAGTAAAACAAAGACTTATATTTTTGATATTTATTTTATATATTTAAATGCCATTCAACAAAGAAAAATCAACCAAAAAAATGAGTTCGCGTGTCACCTCTGACACGCGTGTCATAGGTTCGCCATCACTGTTCTAGGGAAATGGACCTGGGTTGGTAACGTGCTGTGCTAAGTAGGCATGGACTTCCTCTTCATGACACTTTCCTTGACACAAATGTATGGAACTTGCTAAGTAGTATCACTTTGTAAAAAGTCTAAATATGATCATTTAAAATGACATTTTATAACTTCCAACGTATGATCCGATGCTTTTAAATCTTTGGGTATTAAATAGAAGAAAGACATGTTAGGAATAAGTTACTTTTGCAAGAGCACTTGTTCGTTAACATCTACTAAAGTCACCTTTTCTCGCTACATGGTTCTCCGGAAACGTCACCGCTAACTGAACAGAGCGCTAGCGAACGGGCCTCTCGCCGTAGCGGTGTCTGTGGCTTTAGAGAGGCTGGCTTTCCTGCTCCCCGGGGGTCTCCGCTCAACACACAGGGTAAGGCACAACACGGACACGCTTCACACGCCCAGCTTTCCCAACGGCTGCCGCCACCAGACGTGGAAGAGGAGGTGAGAACAAAGCCTGTGGGACGGACTAGAACTGGGCGGGTTGGTGCGAACCCCTGGTTTTTAATGCGGTGGGTGGACAGACAGACGGACACTGAACTAGACAGAGGTGGGCCAGTCTGCTCAGCAGACAGAACTAAGAAACAGATGCGCACACAAAGGGAGAGAGAGAGTGCGATTGAGCAAAGGTGGTAAAACGTTAACATCTGGGGAATGTGGATGAAAGGCAGGTGGGATTCTTTGTATTATTCTCACAACTTTTTAGTCACAAGTTAAAAAAAAAAAGTTTAAAGTGCTGGTTAGCCAGTCACTACAATGTCCAAGAGGGCAGAGAGGAGGGAGAATGGAGGTGAGAAAGGAGGTTGTGTAAGACATACCTTCCCAAGCCCAGGACGGAAGGGCTCAGGTAGGAAAGGAAACCAGGAAAGAGAAGGAGCGCTTGATACAACAGCAGAAGAAAGGCAAGAAGAACAGCAAACAGGAGAGGCGACAGGATAAGAAAAGGTTGAATGTCTATTAGGCAACATACATTATGTGCCAAATGCATGAACCAATCTGGTCATTTTGCATGAACACGTTAAAGTTATTTATCAATACATATCACCGCATTGCTGCTAAATAACATCGTATGTGTTTACCTGCCATAGAGAGAGCTCTCTGAAAGTGCGTCCATTAATGGTCCAATAATAAACTAAAAAGAAAAGTATCTGATGTTAAGTCGCAACCATAACTTGGAAGTGAGCTTGCCTTAGCTGCACATCTACCCAGGGTGCCGAAGAGCCGTCCTAAGCGCAGCTGACCTCTTGCGCTGTGGGTTAATTTACGACAGACAGTCTTGGAGGGTCTCAAAGTAAGTTGAGAATTTTCTCACCTGATAAAAACGTATAAAAGAGAGAGTTCACGTTGGGTCAAGAAGGAAGAAAGGAACCCCAAACAGAAACACATGGTGAAAATAGAGTAACAAAGGAAACACGGAAAGATACCCAAGAGAAAATTTAAGCCCCTATGCCTGGAAGATGGGGGGAGAGGGTTATATCTTCAAAAATATAATAAAAATATGTTACTAGACATTGGTCAAAAACACAAGCTAACAGGAAGTGCAGGGGCTGGGGAGGGGGAAACTGAGGCACACCCAATACTGTAGCACGTAAGAGAGAACTGGGGAGGAAAGGCTGTCGTTACCTCCGAAAGCTCCGGTGAAAACGGAAGAACCTTCGTTTCGTAGAGCTGCAAGAAATGGGTAACCCCTTCCTTGGCCAGGATTTTGTTCTCGCTTTCCAACATTCTTTTGTACACACACAGGTGCCAGGAGGGGTGCAGGAGCCACCGTCCTGCGGGAGAATCTCGGGGTGACACTGGGCCCACGCAGGCTATACAGTCACCAACAAATACCCTCTCGGCACATAACCTCCTCCCAACTCCACAGAAGAGAGTCTGTGTTTAATCCCATCCAAGGAACTTATAATGGAAATTATTTTCTCATGGAAGACCGACAAAAATCAAGTGGAAATAGTACATCTGACTCACCCATTTATCCCAGTCCTTAGCATAAATCGGACACTGCTAAGTAAACTTCTAATTGAGTGAGGGGGAAAAATGGGATGAATATGTACTTAAGAGATATTGACTCTTGACATATCCTTTAATTCTGTTAGAAAAAAATTCAGCATTTTTAACTCATGGCATTCTATAAATAAATCGGTCCATTATTTGTAATTTACACCAAGATACATTGACAATGGTGATTTTTCAAACCTGTCATTGCTATTTAATTTAGTTTGCCAAGAGCTCTGGGCAAAACGTAGTAATAAGAGCATCATTTTAATAGTAAATGTCTAAGTGAAATCACAACAGCATTCAATTATATGCTAGCCCCAAGCAAGACAATGGATTCTCAGTCTTTGAAAAATCCAGTATCTCAGGAAACTATAGCAATCACTCAATAAAGCTCAATTCCCAAGGAAATCTATTAAAGTTGTAACGTTCTAGAGTAGGCACTAAAACTCTTTACATAGGTTAATTCTCATGTGTGAACACAGTAATGCAGAATTTCATCATTAAAATGCTGTTAGCATTTCACTGATCTAAACGTAATTTCATAAAATACTAAAGGAAGCTTTAGCTTCATTTTATTTCTCCTAGAAAGCTCTCATAATAGAGTATTCAAAAGGCTTAAACACCATATTTGAAATTATATCTTGGAATTTTCTGTTCCTGAGAAGTCCAAGGTATAGAACTGAAACCCCTAAACAGTAACTAACAAACAATGACACAGATATATTTAGAGAATAAGAATGGAAAGCAGTTAAAATATATAATAACAAAGAGCTACTATTTAAAGGGTAGAATACAGCGTCATTAAGACATGACCAGAATCCTTCTCTTTTAGGGCGATCTGCTGCTGGGGAGGTGCCTGCGGGTGTGGGAGGGGCTGGAGGCTGCACGTGAGACAGGCCACAGGCTGGCCATGGGGAAGCTGGGTGACAGGTTCATCATGCAAACTCTTTTCCTTCTGTAAACGTCTGACGTCTGCCGTCAAGTGTTTAGAGAATTGCCCGCGTCTCTAAATCACAGGAAACTCTGCCACCATTTAAAAACCATATTCTCAGACTACCTAAGGCAGTGGTTCTCAACCTTCCTAATGCCGCGACCCTTTAATACAGTTCCTCATGTTGTGGTGACTCCCAATTTCATTGTTACAAATTGAACATAATTAAAGCATACTGATTAATCACAAAAACAATATGTAATTATAGATGTGTTTTCCGAGGGTCTTAGGAGACCCTGTGAATGGGTCGTTAGACCCCCAAAGGGGTCGCAACCCACAGGTTGAGAACCGCTGACCTAAGGTGATATGCAGATGCATTTGGATAGACCGCTAAGTGAGAAGAAAATGTTACCATCAGTGCAGAAGATACACTATGCAATGTTAGTAGCAGATTCTCACCTTTACACTTTTGTGGTTTTTCCCAATTCTCTATAATGAGCAAGTGCTAATGTTATTAAGAAATCAACTAAAAGTAACCATTACCGGTTTCCTCTGACACCGCATATTCAAACAGGCTGTTTAGCTTTGGCAAAACTGGCTTTATCACATGTATCTGAAAACAAAAGCAAAAAGGCACATGAAATGAAAATTTGCCTTTAAAATCTTATGGGAATTGTAATCTATTTACGTAACAGCAGCCCTCCTGTTCCCCACCCCTATGTAAAAAAGAAGTAGGCAGATGCCTAATTCTTCCAGTTTTTAAGTAATAAAAATTCAAGTATGTTAAGTGTGACAAAGCTAATGATTGTAACCTAGAATACAGTGACAGCAATTTGCATATAGACAGTGAATATCATACATTATGTCACAAAATCCTCAACCGTCCTGAGAAATAGGGCTGGTCATACGTGTATATTACAAAGAGGGAAAAAACACGGCGGTACATTCTCTAGTCACTCGAGTTGCTCAAGGCCACACATTCAGAAGTCTAGCCAGTTCAGAGTTCAATGTTCTTCATGCTTAGTCTATGTTGCAGGTTCCAGTCTAATTTATTTTCCAAATATACATAAATCTTAGTTTCTAAAGAAACAGTGGGGTATTATGGATCTACTGACTAAGGAAAACCAGAAAAGTTTGTCTGAATTTAGATAGTCTTTCTTTATTCCTCATCCTTTAATTCAGTCCACAGTGCTTGCTGCGAATGTGGGCCGACGCCTCAGCAACTCCACCCCTGGCTGCACCCCCCGACCCCCCCCCCGGAGTGGTCTGCAGCTCACAGAAGGGGAACCCCTAGACCAGGGTTCTCAAGTGTGGTCCCCAGAGCAGCAGCAGGAGTGCCTCCTGGGATCCGATAAAATATTCAAACTCTGGGGCCACCTCACACCTATGGAATCAGGAACTGGGGAGCGGGCCCAGCTATTTATACTCTAACAAGCCACGTGGGGGATTCGAATGAATGTTCAAGTTTGAGAATCACTGCACCAGATTCGGTCATCTCAGAAGATTCTACTCAATTTTAAAACTTTATGATTCTACGAAAACTGATTACAAGTTCAATGACAATGATTTTTCAAGTTTCCATCCTTAAGACCAGGCTGGCACAGATATAACAATTAAAAAAGAAAAAAACACCTACAAAATTAAAAGGCAATTATTTACTTAGTAACCATTTACCTCAGAATAGCTTTAAGTAAAAATTTCCTAAGTGTGTGTTTCTTTGGAGATTATTCATAATGTCGAAAAACACTTCAGCAGTGTCAAGGGAGGACGGAATAAGACTAAATTCTCTGAATGATAACTTAAATCAACTGAAAGTATTCTTTAATTTTCTGGGTTGACATCCCATTTTAAATTGCATTTATGCCAGAAAGCAAGGCACACTATATCCAAGTTGGTCTTTCTGAATTGCTTTTACAGAATGTTGGGGGGTGGGGATGGGGGGGGTGAAGAGAGCTGGATATACATGGGATTTTTAAAATATGTTAACACTTACCTGATTTCCTTCTAGAGTTTCCATTATTAAAATATAGTTTTCCCAAAACTTGAGAAGATCATCTTTTTTTTCCTCAGACCACCAAAACAGACTTGGGCCTGTTATAATGTGAAAAGGAAAATTAGTTGGCAAATTTTATGTGTTTCTTAACAATACTAGATCTTAAAGTTTTGCCACTATTATCAAATGCTGTCTTCTCTAATTAGGAGGGGGCCCCGAATCAAAGCCTAGACAGAAATACCCCCTTACTGGCAACCAAGCCCGCACCCCAGGCATGTACCCTGACCTGGAATTGAACCGTGACCTCCTGGTTCAGAGGTTGATGCTCAACCACTGAGCCACCCTGGCTGGGCAAAAGGAGACTGAAAAAATAAAACTGCTGTTTTGGAGTTCTGGGTAAGAATGACAGATTGAACACATAAACTCTTTCTCTCCCTAAGAACCTCACCGTCCATATCAATAGGGAAGTTTTCAAAGGCAAAAACCCAGTGGAATGGAGGAAACAGGAGCAGACAATGGCGATGAAAACCAAGCAGACTCGAGAAGAGTGAGCATTAAGTTGGCACAAGGAGAACAAAGAAAATTTTGATTTACAAAATCACCCCAACCCTAAGGAACTGACACAAAGTTACTTCTGTGAGCGGAGCGGAGAGTGAAGCTAAACTGCAGAGGGTTTGTGCAGTGAGTCTAAGAGGCGGTCGGACCCAGGCCCCTTCCTCCTGAGCAAGAAAAAGCCTGGGATCTGTTCTCTGGAGAAGGCAGACAGTGGCCTCTGAACTGAGATGCACTGCACACAGCCGAGCTCAGGGTGAGCAGCCATATGAAACTGGGGTCAGGTGAACAGGGGTGCATCCTGGGTGCCGAGACCCCCGCTTCCACCTGCCCCGTCACCATCACAGCCCCTCAGGTCCCAGCCTGCTGACCTCGTTGCAGGTTCGATCTGTTGGGCTGCATGCAGGAGGCAATCGGTCGATGTGTCTCTCACATCGATGTTTCTCTCCCCTGCCCCCTTCCTAAGAAAAGCAATGGAAAGTTTTAAACTTACATGAAAATCTAATCTGCTCACAACTTCAGGCAAAAATCCCTGACCAGTAATAAATGAACAAGGAGCAACAGTTGAAAAAGTACACATTTCCTGAGACAATTTTTGAATCAATCCATTTCGGACTTTGCTAGCTCAAGGACGGATTTAAGATAAGAGAAGTGTATTTTCACACATTTCAGTAAACCAACCATTCAAATGTCACACACGAACCTGAAGGGAGGCCTTGCTATTATTGCATCTACTCTTGTCAGTAAGAAAGCAGTAAGAAGCACAGCTCAAGATGTAAAAAAGGAATTTAAAATCTGACTCATTCTATTGAACCAATGGCAAAAAATACCCTAAACATGCTGACTTAAGGACCATACAATTAACAAACATTAGTAAATCCTGCTCCTCAATTACCAAGGAAATTTTCAAAAAAAAAAAAAGTGATGGTTTCTATTACAGAATTCTAACTCAAGACTGAGTTCAGCCCTGGCCAGTTTGGCTCCGTGGGTAGAGCCTCGACCTGCGGACTGAAGGGTCCCGGGCTCGATTCTGGTCAAGGGCACATGCCCAGGTTGCGGGCTCGATCCCAGGGGGGGCAGGGGGGCGATCAATGGTTCTCTCTCATCATTGATGTTCCTCTCTCTCCCTTCCTCTCTGAAAGCAATAAAAACTCAAAGACCAAGCTCACCTGGTCAGCACAGGTGATTTCCAATCTGATGGCAGCTAACTGACCATTCTTTTCTATTGGAGTGGACCTACCCCCACACGGTGCCCACGTGGGCCCCAAATGATCCCGCGGGTCGGGAAAGCTGGGCACCCCACCCCCCTCGGCTGCAGTGGCTGGCGTCACTCTAGATGAGGGTCCCCAGGTTTTCGGGGCGCTATGGGGACCACGGGAGTAACCAAATTGGGCCTGGATGGGAGAGACGACCTCGAGGAGCTGGTTTCCAAACCCAGGCACCTCCCTCCCCTCCAGCCACGCAAAGCAGGGCCCGGACGGG